AGGACAGGGAGGGCACTATGGTTTTCCCTTTACTTGGTGGTGGTAGAAGAGAACATTACTCTGAGACAAAGATCTTAGCCTTTGTTTTGAAAAACGTTTTGCACTCTGCTTGACCACTCTTGGCTCTAAAACAATAGAGTTGCTGGCCATGATTCTCTGCTGGCTTGTATCTGGTGAAGTCATTGCGCTCACTTTGCCCAGGTGTAATTCATTACACAAGGGAAAGGGCCCTTTCTATTTTTATTATTTTAGATTGGTGCCATAATTTTTTTAAGATACATTTTGAATCATGGAGTCACTCTTTGTAGTTTCTATAAACTGTTGTTCTAGAAAGGTGTTGTGCCTGCTTAGTGACATCCTCATTTGCCAATTTCTAGCTCTAAGCATTTGTAGTATCCTGCTTTTCTGTTAAGACCCATCCATGACCAAAAAAAAAAAAAAAAATCTCTGAAGAGTCAAAGCCATTCCCCTCCAACCGGGAAAGTCTGAATGAATCACATAATTACCACACTGAAAGTGTAACGATTCACTGGGGGAAACTAGATAGTTCCTTGTTGCCAGACAGATTAGGATGAGGGGATTCAGGCTGTATAATTAATTACAGGAAGGTAAGTATGGATAGGAAGCATAGGCTGTAAATTTTCTTACCTTTACCTCATGGAATTCAAAGCTGCAGCCTTCTCTCTACAAACTTCTCTTATCCTATTTAGAACCGTAAATGGCCTTTTGAACTGGCTTTGATTGGGGAACACCTCTTCGGTCTTCACCAAAGCCTAAATATGGGCTATTGCTTTTGAAAATAGGAAGCTCTTTGTCAGACATTTAATAAGAGAACTGTGGGTACAGTTGCATCATAGGCAGCTCATTCAGCATTCAAGTCAAAGGCTGGAAGAAACCAACTGGACTCAGGGCCTCTTTTGACTTTGAGGAGTTCTATAGACAAAGGAAAACACCAGGAAGGCTTAGTGCTAAAGAGTAATGAATGAATAAGGGTTTTTTTTTGCAAGCCATAACTTTATCACACAGTTTCTGACCACCCTTTAAGTTCTAGCCCCTCATCCTTAACCCCACTGAAGCTGTCAGGGTGATCGCCACTGTTTTCCCAGTTTAACTTGAAAAGGGGACCTTGTGGGTTTGAAGCGGTTCTCCTTTACATTGGAGTCCCTAGTTTTCATTGCATATGATGTGTTCCACTCTACCAGAAAGCCCCCAGCTAGAGAAGACTTGTGAGGAAAGGGCTTCACCAAAAAGCCCATCTTCCCATGTAATTTGGACAGCCTCTTCCTAATTCCAGGGTCCAATTAATTCTCAACTTAATTTTGTGCAGGACTCACAAAATGGGCAAAAAAGCATCCAATGATCCACCATAGCCTACAGTTCTGTGTGCCAGGAATAAACAAAGAGAGATTTTTGAGTGCAGTGACCTGCTGGTGCTGCTGTGGGATGAAGGGGCCGAGTAGGGAGAACTAGAGATTTCTGGGGCAGGAAGTGGTAGGCTTGTGGCTGCATTCAGAGGTGACCTTTGGATCGCTCTCAACAAGAGCTCTTCCTCTCCCCCTCCCCCTCCCCACCCCTGGCCAAAAATGCTATTGCAGTTTCAAACCTCCAACAACCATTTGCTCAGGTTTGGAGAGGAGCCCCAGCAATGCCTTCAGAAGTCTGAGAGGAGCTCAAAGGGAAACCCTCCAACTTTGTCAAAATTTAGTGGGGGAACGCTCCTTTTGAGAGAATAACCCCTGGAAAACTATTGCAGGTTCACAGGAGATGCCCCCTCGCAGGGCTTAAAGAATAGAAAGGGAGATTCCCCTTCCCTACCTTTTTCTCCACTGTGGACGGCTCTGGGAAGTTTGTGTTGAAAAGCCAGATCTGATCAAATATTTCACTAAAAAAGACTTGGCAGGTTTACATAAGTTGATGTCGATGCAGAGCAATTTCAGCAACACTTCACTTCAGAAGACACAAATCATGTGATATACTGACACACAGAGATAGCCAGAATGCAGAACAAGGGAACAGCTGCTTTCACCCCAAAGCTTTTAATCCTAATAACAATCACAAAGTAATCTGATAGTACTTGAAGGAATTCCCCTACACAAACTGGAAGTATCTATCATGCCCTCACTCGGGCTAAAAGCCTGGTTAGTGCTGGGATATTGCATGTTAGGTGGCTGTTTTCATTCTCCCCTGGATCATTATCAGTTAATGCACCATGCTTTATTTGAATTGCCTATCACTGGAGGCCAAACGATGAAGGAATAGCTATGCACCAAGGTGAGGGAAATATGTTACGATTTCTCTTATCAGCATCAACACCACTTGAATTCTTGTAGCTATGAAGATGATCATATTACTCCTTTCTTTTTATATTCCCTGCTAATGGTCAGCTCAGAGGGACTTCGTTTCCCAGGCATGCCACTTGTGCTTTTAGTCATGCTCCATATTCATTTAGTTGCAGTTAATGCACAATTCAAAGAAAGCACAGAAGCAAAACTTCCACCCAATTCCCACGTCAATCCTGCTCCACAGAGAGAAAGAGACATGAGAAGTGGACACAAGTGGTGTTAATAGAATGATTTCTGAGTTGGCACCTATTCTGAACCAGGAGCCCAAGCCAGCTGCTGCTTCCGATTGCTGATTTTTATGGTTCTCAAAATTGCAACATCCCTCTCCCCTGAAGAGTAGATCTGGAAGGAATGGCACTACATCATTAGATGATCCTGATTGGTGGGTGACACAGTGTTAGTGTTACAAACAGGGGCCTCCCTTTCAGCATGGGGTGTTTCTGTCAGGAGCAATGTTAAAGCTAGGCAGCATCCCAAGCCACAGAATCTGGATCTGAATCTAGATCCCAACGTCCCCAAATTTGCAGGTGTTTGAATCCAGGGTTCGCACTCAGATGTATCTCAAGCCAAAGCATGGCATTTCATCTCTCTCTACTGGTTTTGAGTGTCCCTAGGAGGTCATGTTATTTTAGGGATACTTATCATTCCCTCAGGGCCATATTATAGCTGTAGCAAATGAAGACGGAAACCATTCCTGAAGCGGGCCACTTACATCCACTTCTAACCCCTTACAGGTGGAAGGGGAGAGCAGTCCTCTTTATAAAACTTTTAGCCCAGTGTATATCAGAGGAGAATGAGGCCGTCTATCTGCAGCATTCTCAACTCCTGACAGCTCCTCATTTAATAGAGGCAAGCTACACCAAGGTAAGCCAGGTTTAAAATGATTTAAGAGCGTCCATATGCAAAGCTGCACCAGTTTCACTACATTGGGGCAACATCACATCTTTCGGCTATGTCTCCACTACAAAGCCTACGCCAACATAGCTACATGGGCATAGCCTCCCAGTGTAGACCAAGAGAACCCCATCGACATAAGAACCCCACCTCCCCATATAACAATAGCTATGCTCACAGAAGCACTCTTGTATTGGCATAGCTGCATCTATACTGGGGGTGTGGTAGGCATAGCTACGTCCAACCAGGAGTATGTGTTTTTCACACTCCTGGCCAACATACTTATGCTTGCATAAGTGTTAAGTGTAAACCAAGCCTTAGTAAGCTGTGCACGTCTGTGTGTTGGCAAGCCTTTGAGTGAAAGAAACTCTTCCCTCCTGGAACCACCTTCCTTTCCAGCAACTGCTTGTGTCTCACACTGTTACAGGATGCAGGGGATGAAGGAGGGCTCCGGAGAGCAGTTTGAGAACTTCTGCCTTGCAAGACGTAGCCTAAAGCATCCTTTCCATTCCAGAACCAGGGGGAGCACAAAGAGGATGTGCTTGGAGTTTATTTGATACGGTGGTGGTGGGATTTTAGTGTGTTAGTGTGAGGACAGGAAGCTCCACCATTTCTACAAGCCATGCCCCAATCCTGTAGCGTGATCTGTTCAGATGGACTCCCACTACACCCAGTGCAAAACCACTGATGTCGGCAGGTTCTCATTGATTCATATATTTTAAGTTGAAAGGGGACCATTGTGATAATCTAGTCTGACCTGCATAACACAGGCCATAGGACTTCCCTGCAAAAATTCCTGCTTTCCTATGCAGCCAAATCCTATCCCTTGTACTAGAAGGTTGGGATTTTCAAATGCAAATTCAGTGGCATTTGGGCACTGAAATTCCTTAAACTCCTAATCTAAATGTTGTCTTGAGTGAAAAACCAGTCTTCTCCCCAGTGTAGCCCTTTTATGGGACTTTCCAGGAGCCAGCTGGGTAGCACTTTCACTCATATAACAGATGCCTTTTCCCTGGGCCTCACAGTCAATTGAAATAGTGGGCTAAAATAAGAAATGATCAGCCCTCCTGTACCCTTAAGAAAAGGACAGATCCAATATCTATTAAAATTAGGGCTGGTCAATTTTTTTTTCAATCAACATTTTCCCTCCACAAAATACTTTTTAAATGAAATTTTTCACAGAAAAATTTTATTTTGACTGAAATTTTCCAAGTTTTAACAAAAAACAAAACCTTTCTTGGTTTTCACTTTCCCTTTTTTTCTAATGGGATAAAAGAAAAGGGGAGAGGAAGCGGGTGAATGAAAAAACAACAAGACTGCATGAAAAGGATATTCCCCTGCTGGGGAAGGGAGGGGTGAAGGTATTTTTGCAGGATTTCAGGTAAAGAGAGGGAAACATTTTTCTCTGTTACTTTGAATTTTTCATGAAAACAAAAGGAGAGTTTTGGTGTTGTTTCACTACGACAAGCACTTTTTCAGCCAAGTGCCACACTGTGAAAATTGAGGACTTTGCCTACCCCAGCCTTCTAGAGAGAGGATTTCACCATTCTTGCTGCCAATAAAGTGCCAGTGGTAGAAACAATGAGATTTTAAACAGTAGTATTTTGAACTGAATACTTACTGTCCCACCCCCTCTTACTTTTTGCCAGCAAATGCTAAACCTTCCCACCCACCCCAAACAGACAGTTTCCACACAGTTCTCTAGTTGTGACAAGAATCTTAAAAGACTTCCCCTCCCCACCCCACCCCCAAAAAAGTCCTGTTTGTTTCAGACCTAAGGCCTGAATCTTACACGTTACTGCATGTGGGCAGACTCCTGCTCCCACACACTGCCCCACTGACTTCCACAGGCTCAAGGCTCTGCCTGCATGGAGTAACTTGTCCAGATTGACACCTAAAATAAGACTTGAGGGGAAAAATACCTTAAAATACTCTACATTGTTCAATATACTGTAGAAATAATTTTCTGAATGAAATTACAGTTCTTTATTGCAGGCCTCTAAAATGTTGTTAGGGTTATACATTAAAAAATACTAGAGTAACATTTTAAAAAATGTGTGTGTGTGTGTGTGTGTGTGTGTGTGTTTCCTCCTATTGTACAATTAAGCTATAAATAATTTTAGGGTAAATCGCCTAGATGTAAATGAAACTGTTAACTGATCACATTTGCTGATGTCCCTTTCTCCTTCTGCCCAGCATGGCTTCTATTAATCCAGCATCTTCTCCTGTTTCTTGCCTTCCTTTTTCTTCTTCTTGGGTTCTGCCAAGATGACAACAATGAAAAATATTAATAGCTAAATACAGTACCAAAAAAAACAACAACACTTAACCCAGTGCTCAGGCAGGTAAGAGAAGCTTTTTCCCCCTATCTTCTCTATGGACACAAGAGCTGTTATTTCAGAGCCAGGGAAGAAAAATAAAAAAGAGAGAAGGATCAGGACCTTTCCTATCTGATTGGCTGACTCTGTTTGGCATGCAAGGCATTGTCTTAGGCACTTGCTTAGAAAATAAGAAAACAGCAGGCAGCTCCTGGAGAAACCAGGTCACGGCTCAGTGGAGAGCTGGAGAAAAGCTTTGCACACACACACACACCTCCCTCATTTCCTTTCTGTTCATTTGGCTTTCTCCGAACGTGAGAGCAACTCCAGAGGGTGGTGAGAAAGCTCTCTTGCTTCCCTGGGCCCTGTTCTGCCAGTGTCTCCCCTTTTTGTTCAGAACACCTGTGCACATTTAAAATCCAGTCCAAACTCAGACACAAAATGCACCCACTGTTGGCTCGGGCCGTAGTCACCCAGGGTTTTGTCGCTAAGGAGTATGGAGTAGTACATGGCTAACATTGAGTGAGTGAGGAAACAACAGTATAGATTTAATTTAAGGTTCCTATGTCATGGTCTTTTATAGATAAATCAAGTTCATAGTGTAGCCTAGCAAAAGATTATGAACAAGAGGAGTTTGGGGGTTAGGGGAAGTATATGGTGTGACGCTGGCAGACCAGGTGCCAGCTCATGACAAGGCCCCAGGCCTTACTGAACACATACAAATGGATAGCTGGAAACCAGTCTTGTGTACCCGTGTGTTAGCATTATCAAAATAGATGTTAGATGTTAAATCACTAAGAATGTGTTTAGACTTTATAAAATGCTTGTAGGATGCAGCATGTATTGATCTCATTTATAACCTTGGTGGTTATAAGTAAGATCAATGGTTGCAGCTCATGTTATAAAGTTATGAGTGTTTGCCTTGTAAACCTCTGTAATTGTGTAACTCACTAAACAGGAAAAGAAGCATTAATTAAGGCAAAGTGCTCACCCTGCACACAAGATGGCCCATTGATGGTAAATGAGGTATTATGTAGCATCAAAGGACAGAGGCCCTGTTAACTGCTTTCCTAACTTCCTCCAGGTAGGAGAGACTTGTGCATGAACTCATCCCATCAGTTTTGGATTCTGGAGTGGAGGGGATAAAAATCCCTGACAAGAAGAAACTGAATCTCTCTTATGCTGTCTGGATTCTGAGGGACAAAGATTCCTAAACATAAGCAAAGAGATTCCCATGCTGCTTGGCATGGGTTAGTCCTGAAAGACATTTTGAATTGGCAGATTACTACAGCTCTGTCACCTTTTGAATCACACACTGAAACTCATTTGTGTATACATGGCTTGCTTGCTCTGTCTTGTAAAGAACTCTCTTACTTCTTTTTCCTAGTTAATAAACCTTTAGTTAGTTTATTACAGGATTGGCTATGGTATGAGATCTAAGGTACAAATTGATCTAGGGTAAGTGACAGCTTCTTTGGGACTGGGAGCAACCTGAATATTTTGTGAGTTTGGGTGTAAGTGACCATTTATCACAGAGTCCAGCTTGCCTGGCTGGCAAGATAGGCTGGAGTGTCTTAGGGGACTGTCTATGACTCTGTTATAAAACTACTGTATTACTTTGAGAGTTCACATTTCTTTCTGGGTTGGTGAAATCTAATTATAGAACATACAACCAGTGTGGGGTGTCTTCCCTGCTTTTTGACAGTCTGCCCTGAGGCTGGCAGTCTCGGTCATGAGTCACTCCAGACAGCATGAACTTGGACTACTCTTGTATGTACTACTCTTGGACTACTCATTTTTCATTGGTGGATCACAAACTTCTCTGCAAACATTACTTAATCCTCACAATGCCACTGTGAAATACAGTACCGTTTATATTATACTCAATATACATATGAAGAAACTGAGGCATGGCACAGTTAAGCTTCTTTCCCAGGACCTCACAGCAAATAGTGGCAGAACTGGGAACACAACTCAAGAGTCCTAGCTGTCCGACCCTGCTTTAACCACTAGGCGTCACTCTCCATCAAATCACACCGTCACTTCTTCCCTTTATAGGAAAAAAATCCATGTTGAAATCACAGGCCAAATGTCAGCCTCCAAGCCAGGAGTTTGCCAGGTGGCCATTTGGTTAGTGTTCTTCACTAGCACTTGAGAGTCCTAAGTCGGATGGCTGGGTATGACTTTTTACTCTGATTGGATCATTAAACTTGATGATCTGGGACTCATCCGCTGAGGTAAATCTGCATAGTTCCACTGAAGTAAATAAAGCTACACCGTTTTACACCAGCTTAGGATCTGGCTCTGAGTATCTTGAGCAGAAAGATTACAGGGGGAACCTATCTCCTATTTCTTGGTTACTGAAGCCAAAGGAAACCAACCTCAGGAAAAAATAGAAGACCATGAAATCCCCAGAGCCAGCATCCATTTTTCACTTCATTTTCCTTGCCACCCCATAGAACGTGCTAAGTAAGGACTTGTCTACACTAAAAACACTACAGTGCAGTGCAGCCACAACGCTTCAGTGTAGACCAGGGGTCTCAAAGTCCCGGCCCGTGGAGGAGAGACGCATGCAGCCACGCTGCCGGCAATGTCTGCGGCAGGCACCGCCCCCCGCAGCTCCCATTGGCTGGGGGAGAGGGACAGAGATACCATTACTGGTTGCCGGGCAGAGTCAGCCATGGAGGCAGCATCACTTTTTTCCATAATGAAAATAAACAAGTCAAAACACCAAACACAACTATCTGATGCACACCTTGCTGCAATCCTGAAGGTTTCAACTGCTCAGTCACGGAGGCCAAACATCAACAAACTGACAGAACTGAAGCGTTGCCAGGTGTCTGGCAAACACTAAAAACTCTCTGGCAGGTGAAGAATTGTATAAAGTTGTTATGACAGTTTTATTATTTCTAAGAAATTCGAAATAAAAAATACAATATAAACATTTTCTTTTCTGAACACCATCTTCAGTCACATTCTTGGCCTGCTGGGAGGATTTGAGGACTGGCCCTGGCCCTAAGGTAAATTGAGTTTGAGACCACTGGTGTAGACACTAACTAGGCTGACAGGAGGAATTAGGTTGATGTAGCTACGCTGCTCAGGGGTGTGGATTTTTCACACCCCGACCGATGTAGTTAAACCAACCTAATTTTCTAGTGCAGACCAGGCCTAACTCTAAGGGTATGTCTACACTTCAACCACTACAGCAGCATAGCTGCAGCACTGCAACTGCGCTGCAGTAGCGCTTCAGTGTAGATATTACCTACAGTGATGGGAGGAATTCTCCCGTCAGCCTAATTAATCCATCTCCCTGACAGGTGGTAGCTAAAGAATTCTTCCATCAACCTAGCGCTGTCTACACAGCAGGTTGGGTCGGCACAGCTACATCTCGTAGGAGGGTGGGTTTTTCACACCTCTGAGAAACATAGCTATGCCGATGCATGTGTTTAGTGTACACCAGCCCTGAGCAATAATTGGTACAGATGGGGCATAGCGTTACTGATCCTCCTGAATGATACAAAGGGCCCTCTGAAGAGACCAGCCTCTCTCTCTCCCCTTCCACTAGAGCTACTCCCTCTCCCCTCCTCCCCCTCAATCAGACAAGCCTTGGAATTTGTAAAATCCACTCAGACTCAGAGGAAGCAGAAGAAAATGTTGCAGGCTGCAAGTTAAAATTTGCTAAAAGCATTGGAGATAGAAGAGGGTGAGTTACCTGTCCACAGATTCTCCCGTTGACCTAACACTACCTCTTGGGGAAGTGGATTACCTACCCTGACAGGAGAATCGCTCCCGTTGGCATAGGTAGTGTCTTCTCTGAAGCACTACAGCGTTTTAAATGTAGACAAGCCCTTATCCTCACCTGAGATTGGGAAAGACTATACCAATATATTGCACCTTTATGTCAATACAACTGTCCACACTGGGAGTTGAACTGGTATATATGTATCCGTTGAAAAAAAAAATCAAACCTAACTGAATGTTATACTGGTACATAAACTATAGACCAGGCCTTAGGCTCATTTGAAAATCCCACCTCAGCTGCCTAAACATGGATTTAGGAGCCTAATTTTAGGCAGTCAGGTTTGAAAACATTGGTTTGTGTATTCAGACCCTGCTGGTTACCACTACTCGTGTCGGTTAACAACTGCTACGCTCCTCTCTTTATTGCAGAGATTATAGATTGTAGCATCTCCACAGTTAATAAGTTTGGAAGCTGCTTTGAACTGTATTTTGTTCATTTTTGCCCACTGTTCAGCCCACAGCTCTGCAGCTGTGTGGCTCTCATTTCCATCCTCCTCCTAATTCCACACTAGAAAAGTAACTTGTATTGTACAATAGCAAGTCAGCTTCTGGGGCCACACAGGAACCCATGCCACGTCGCTCACTCAGCCCTGAGCTAGTTTCCTGCCTGTGGCAGTCTGATTTGACTGCAGGATCATAATGCTAGCAGTGCCAGAGCTGACCCCTTGTCTGGAAGCCCTGACTAGCTCACAAGGCAATGGCAAATTATCTGAAACCTCTACAGTCTCATTCCCCCTATCTGCTGAACAAAGGGAAGCGGGGGAAAGATCCATTGGATACACGGTATCTGATAAGCCACTTTTTCATGTTCCTATCCCAGGCATGAGAAGCCATCTGGGTCTGATTCACCTTGGCACAGATTGGATGCAAGACCTTCACTTCAGAACATTAGGTGGGGACCACATTTCCTATTAGGCTTTTTAATGTGGTCTCAGCCTGCCTTCTGCAGTAATCTGTCAAGCTGTCTCCAGTGATAATGAGCCTTTGGGATGGAAGAGTCACTGCACTGCTGTTGCCAATGCTAACTGTCCCCACACAGCAGCCTGATCTCTTTCTCTCTCTCTCTCTGCTGCACAGCACTGCATCGGGAGATGCCAGGGGAGGCAGTACTGTCAGCGCTGCCTGCCCCCATAGAACACTG